CGCGCTGAGCAACTATTACTAGAGAAGAAATGGCCACGTGTACTTGTGGAAGCTATTGTTGGAAAATATAACCGATATAGCTGGCCATCTCGTATTAGGGGCACACAATTGGAAAATGACGAAACGAAGACATTTTTAACAAAATACAAATGTAGACATATTCCGGGTTTTCTCAGCGATAATAAAGAACAAGCAGTAATCGTGTTCGCTTCTGATAATACACATATGCCATATGATATGATTGATGTACCAGGATTTTTGATGATATTTCAAAATGGAGCATTACCAGTCGATGGTTGTTTAGCGAATTTTTGTTGTCCAATATTATAATGTGTATTCAGTAGTTTCTACTTTATTTTTTTGTATAGTTTACATAAGAAATACACTGGAAATTAAATAAACCATTTTAAGAAGTTTATTCGAGTGTATTTATTGTGTTTTATTTTATGTAATACGGATATTTATATTTTAGACATAGGACTATTCAAGTATGATCGATTCTGATTTTGAAAATATAAATAGCTTAATACTGCATATTGTATGCTTTTAAGTGAACTCCCATTCAAATATATAATAAAAACACATACATAGTTTTAATATCATTATTTATTTTTTAATTTTTCCCCAAATGAAAAAATGTGTAGGTATTTCGATAACCCATTTATATTCCGAATGAGACATGGCCTTTCTAGATGAGAACTTAAAGGAGATAAAAACAGCAAAAATTACCTAGCGTACCTGAAAAGTAAGTAAAAATTTTAAAATATATATTTGTTCAATTATTGCAAAGACTATTATTTCATCTTTAAGCACAATGTTGTCCATGTAGAAATATTCAGAAACTGGTCCTTATATGACGTATTTGACTATACACAATTTTCTATGCTTAAATTTCTGATACTTGTTTTTAATTAATAACGAGTTTTCGTTTTATAAATCATCACCGTTACATTTGGTTTTTGTGTGTGCATTTGTTGACACAATTTTTTATTGAAACAACTCGATGGTTAAGACATCATAATCCGACAATAGTTTCGAAACACATACAATATGTGCATCTTGTGAACTTAATTTGTAATTTGTAAATGTTATAATATATTTTTTTTTACTGCCATCTATGAATATACCTTGAGCAGAAAAATACGTCGATACAACGACAAAATCATAGTTAAGTTGTCAACTTTTACAATTAGCTTAATATAGCTTTAGTCGGAACCTAACTATAGTATAACATTACCAATAATAACAATATTATGTACCCAAGGCAAACCAGTATTTTGTATACAAGTCAATTGGAAAGTTTCATAACACTATATTTGAATGTATTTTTTGTTTGTATTTGTTTAGTGAACGCCCAAAGGCATACGGTACAGTTTTCTTTAAATACACAGCTGTAAACAATAATAAAACAAAACTACCAACAAATAAACAAATGGGGAACACCCAAATCATAAAAAAAAGGACTGTACAATTAAAAAGATAAATAAATAAATACTGCTCAAAACTTTAAATGCTGAACGAGAAAGTCAGAAGGCTATCACTAATAATATTACAAACTGTGTGAAAAATATCATTAATATTGATATTATATAAGTCTAATACGCCAAAGTCCTGCACGACAGTTCTAGCTATGTTTATAGTGAGGTGGAATACCGGATAATTTCTGGAATAATCATAGTAACAATTATCTATGTAAATCAAAAAAAAATAGAAAGAAATATTTAAAAAAGCAGATGTATTTTGAGTATGCATTCTAAAGTTGGTTTGTGCTTCCTAAACGAATTGGGGGTAGGAGTTTGCAATGTGGTAAGTACTTTAAGCGGTTAGCTGTGATAGTAAAAGTTAAACATATTTTATTTGGGCTGTTGCTCTTTGAAAAGATAAATTCGAATATTGACACTTTTCCATATGATTTTGTCGTTGTATCGCCATATTTTTCTGCTTAAGGAATATTCATCGATGACAGTAAAAAAATGTATCAGAACACTCACATTTCATGTTGACAAGTGCCAAAATTGTATGTGTTTTGAAACTAATGTTAGCTTGTGTTTTTTTTATAATCTTTTCAAATTGTATAAATAAAAAATTGTCCTAACCGTGTCTCGTTCAGAAACTGGCCAAGGGTTAAGCAAAATAAAAATAAAAAAGTAGAGTTGCTCATAATTGTTTAAGTAAAGTGAGGTTATGGACTAATGAAAAAGCAGACTTGGCCACAACGTAGATATCACTGCTTTGATATCCTGACATTTGTGGGTAAGACACTTGACCCTTTTTCCATAGTTTGGTTTTTGTTTGGGATATTTTTACCTTATATTATAGATTTACTTAACTTTAATATTAATAATACTATTGATTTGGAATTATTCATATGTAATTATTGAAAAAAGTATAATTACCAATAAGTACTAATTGCAGAGATATACTTTATCAAACACAATATTATAATATTTTTTTAATTAATTTTATGGCATATCGAATTATCTATACGTATTATATTTTGATTTGTGAAATCGATGAATAACACAACGAACAATATACAAAACCATATGACTTTAACATTTAAAATAATAATGACAAAACATCCCATTCCCTCTTTAGTGTCTTTACAGTTAATATGATAAATAACGACGAAAAATTGTTTTTATTTGCAACCTTGTTGATTAAATTCAGATATCTGATAAGGTACTTTTTTACAACGCTTTAGGTATTTTTTGACAATGCAAAAATGCAGTTATTGATATTAAAATTGTGTATGTGCTTTTATTTTACATTTGTTTTGGGAGTTGACTTAAAAGTATACAATATACAGTATTAGGAACGCTATTTGAATTTTTTAAATCAAAATCAATTATACTTCAATAATTCATTATGTAAAATATAAATATTAACTATGTACGGACCTAATATTACATAAAATAAAACTCAAAAAATACTATGAAATAAACTTCTTAAAATGGTTGCTTTAATTTCCAGTGCATTTATATTGTCTGCTAACAATATCCATAAAATTAAATAAAGTATGTACATATAAATACATTTTATAATATTGGACATCTGAAATTCGCAAAAAAACTATTAATAGGAAATGCTCCCTGTTTGAATAACATCAAAATTCCCGGCTCAGCAATCATATCAGAAGGCATATGCGAATTATCAGAAGCAAAAACGATTACTGCTTGTTCTTGATTACCACTGAGAATACCCGGAACACGTCTACATTTGTATTTTCTTATCAATTTCTTCGTTTCGTCATTTTCCAACTGTGTGCCCCTAATACCAGATGGCCAGCTATTTTAAGTCCAGTTGGCCACTTATTTGCAATCAATACATTCTTAACGTAATGCTTGAAACGAAAACAACGATAAATGTTCTTAATTTTGAAAATTGTTTTAAAAGCAAAATTACCGGAAAGTAATCGTCAGGTCAAGCGTGCAGTTTACTAGAATCTTCAATTTTAACTAATGGCAATCTTTTTGACCACGATATTACGTCATTAAGTGAATATACATAACTGTCCGGCGGGTCTATTTCAAAGATAATTTCCTGAAAATAATAATGTTACGTTTATAATTATCAAAAACGTGTACTGAGTAAATACTAATTCTAAAAAAGCAAACTACATATAAAAATACATTATTGTCCAACCGAATATATTTCAGTTGACCAGTTTTTTTATTAAAATAATCAGTTCAATAGTTAAACAAAATATTAACTATTACTAAATTTAATGAATATTCCGTGCAAATTTAGTACTCGATTTAGTATTTGATTATTTATAAAAAAAATTATAGCTATATATAATTGGACGTTTTTCTCGAATTTGTAGGTGCACGGATAAAACTTAGTTATATTTTGCACAATACCACGATTCATTGCAGAAACGATTTCTGTACTTATTCGACATAAAAGATAATCGATTTTAGCGATTTTGATTAGATTAACGGTTTTAGACACACAATATTATATTTTATACATACTTGTTCTAAAAATTGTTTACCTGATATATTATTACCTTACATTTAAAAATGACTAAATATTAATAATTGTAAAACAATGAACTAGGAATTGTTCATAAGTAATCGTCGAAAACATCACAATTACCTCCTCAACATCAGAACAATGAATTGTTGCAATATAATTTATTAAACATAATAAAATAATATGTTTTATATTCATTTTGTATATATTTATATACATTTTAAATGTTATAGAACCCTTGAAGACTTTTGACTAACTGAAATAAATGATGCATACGCTCAATAATAGCACGACTAAAGTATAGCAGTTGCTTGTGAATAATACATTTATTTCTTATTCCTTTTTTTCCTACATTTTGATACTGTATTTGATTGCAAAAATGCAAACAAGATTTTCAAAAAAAACGTGCAATTAGTTAAACACTATCTACTGAGTTATTAATTTTAAAAATAAACCTGTATAATGACATTTCGTAAATTTTTTTTTGATGTATCGCCTATATCAAAGTAAGATTTTAGCAATAATTTGAATATACACGTGTGTAATATTTGTTTTACAACGATTTATTGTTGAAAATGAATATATTAACAACTAAATCAAACAGGTAAAGGAGGTAATAATAATTTTAAGACTAAAGAGGTGTTTGATTTATTATTTGACCTTGAGAAATCCACGAGCAACACATACAGTATAATATATAGAATCGCTAGTCTGATTTTCATTAAAATTTTTAATTGGAATAATTTTAATATCAAACATAATATATTTTACTTTTGAGTTGAAAAATACGAAAAGTTCACTAGTTTATAATATAAGACACACGTGTCTTCTCAGCTTATTGCTAAAATCTGAATCATATATAGGAGATAAATCAAAATACTTTTCACGAAATGTCATATGTCTGTGTTTGTGCAGTAAAATAAAGTGGCAAAAAGAAATGAGAAAAATATATTCGAAGCAACTACAATACCTTACACTTGCTATTGTTGAACATAAGAAAAATTGATTTCAGTTAGTCAAAAGTCTTTAAGCGTTCTATAACATTTAAAATATATTTAAATATATATACAAAATGAATATAAAATATATTATTTTATTGTGTTTGATAAATTATATTGCAACAGTTCAATCTGCTGATGTTGGGGTAATTATGATGTTTTCGACAAATACTTTTGAATAATTTCAATTTATGTTTTTTTATAATTAATAAAGTAGATTAATTTTTTAATTTAAGTTAATAATATACAAGTCGAACAATTTTTACCAAGTATGAATATAGTATAGGCCTGTGTGTTAAAAATAAACAGTTGAACTATTTAAATTCGCTAAATTAAATCAAAAATCGTACCTAGAAAAATTGAGATGAAACCTACATTTTATCTACATTACTCTTTTCAAATTAACGGTAGATTATAACTTTTTTTTATAAATAATTAAATAAGTTCTAAATTTACATAGAATATGTATTAGATATAAGAATAATAATTTATGTTGGTCAACCGAAAAAAAATACCTTAAACCGTTTCTCCAAGAATTAGTAGAACCCTTACATATTTCACAAACTCTCATTAAATAGCAGAATATTAGTTTAATATTTTATTTATTTTCACCACTGTATAAGTGAAATGTGATATATTCAACATATCCCGTGTTACTTTGAACAAACTGTATAGTATACACATATATAATAATTTTGTAGAACAGGCAATTTTTGTTTTCGTTTTCTTAATTAAAATTACTGTCTATTAGTTTTGGATAGTTACTATTGAAACATTATTAAATTTAGGAAATTCAAATGGAAACGATGGACAGACCGGACAGTTCAGCATATTCACTGGATGACGTGATATACTGGTCAAAAAAATTGGAACTAGTTAAAATTCGAAGATGTGGTAAACTGCTTACGGATGCTATCGAGTCCTTTCCGGTAATTTTTGTCATAAAAACCATTCTGAAGTAATGAAAATTAACTATTGTTTTCATTTCAAGCAACGCGTTAAAAATATATTACTTCAAAAAAACTGGCCAGCTCCACTTGTGGACGATCTCGTTGCAAAATATAATGAAAGTAACTGGCCATCTTGGATAACGGCCCCGAAATTACAAAATGAAGAAACACAGGAACTTATGAAAAATTTAAAATGTAGACTTATTCCGGGTGTTCTCAGTGACAATCAAGAACAAGCAGTAATCGTTTTCGCTTCTGATAATACGCATATGCCTTCTGATATGACTGCTCGTCCCGGATTTTTGATGAATTTCAATGGGGGAGCTTTGTATTTTATTGATTTTGAAGAATTTCTAAGTGTCCCAAAACTCTTGACACTAGTAGAAGAAATTAAATGGGATTTGTTACTAACGGTGCCTCCAAATTCTCTTAAGGTAATTTTCTGTATTAATCAAAATAACATATTCATAAATAAAACAATTAACCGTTTTTTTTATTTGAAGGATCGCGTTAAACGTATTCTGACTAAAAGAAATTTTTCAAGTCGACTTGTGGATCCTATTGTCGAAAAATATAATCGAGATAGCTGGCCATCTGGTATAAGGGGCACGCAATTACAAAATGACGATAAGAAGAGTCTTTTAGAAGAATACAAATGCAGACGTATTCCGGGTTTCATCAGTAGCAACCGAGAAGAAGCAGTAATCGTGTTCGCCTCTGAAAATAAGCATATGCCTCCTGATATGATTGCTGAGCCAGGGTTTTTGTTTATATTCCAACAGGGAGCATTACCCATCAATAATTGTTGCGAAAAATATGTGCTCTCAAATTTTAACTGTCCGGTATTGTAATGTATATTTAATAGTATCTACTTTATTTGTTTTTATAGATAATGTTAGCTTATAAAATAAATACACTAACAATTAAATAAACCATTTTAAAAAGATAATTAAACTATTTTTTTGTTTTATTGTATGCAATATTACGGACTACGTAATGCCCACAGCCTTTTGAAATAGTGTAAAACTAACTACTAAACTATTGATTGGTATAAGGTTAAAAGCTAAATTTGTTCGTAGTTTATATTTTAGATAGTGTATTATTAAAGCTGTATTCATAATCGAGTTTCATTTTTCAACCATTGCGTTGTGAACTTGAGATGTTATAAGCATATCTTATGTGTATGTGAATTCTAATTATTCCAAATTTCATATTTGTCTATAAGTGTAATTCGTTCAATTCCTTACCAATTATCTATTTTTACAAGTTCAGAATGTAGGTTGTTTTACGATAATGCGAGAATGACCAGGAACATTTTTTTATTGATCCATGACTGAACCATATCCAAGATAAATATCAGTCTAAACTCTAAAGACACACATATGACTGGTGTGTCTTAATAACTATTTTATGTCATCATCAGTGCTAACCACTGTCAGCATAAGAAAAATATAAACCACAAGTAGTTTTATTCATTTACCTCAACGCCTCAAGAGCCGTAATTAAAGGAATTATCAGGAACCAAGACAATAAGACAATAAATAAATAAATATATATATCATTGTAAAGTCAGTTTCTGCTCCACTTTTCATTCGATCAAATAGTAATATTCTTAATTTTTTAAGTTGGATAGATTTTTTCGTGTAGCAACTCTTTAGATCAGAATTCGTAACTTAATGGTACTTTATTGGATAAAAAGTTCACCCCTTTCCATTCAAAATGTAGAAAAAAAACCCAAAAACTTTTCAACTCAAAAGTAAAGATATTAAGGAATATTCTGTACAGAATAGCAGTGTGACCAAAAACAAACAACATTGTATTCAATTTTTTTGCTTTCGCGTTAAGACTTTTTTTCAATGCATAGTTTATTGCCACAAGGGCCAAATAATATAGTCTTGTGTAATCCCAAACGTTTTAAATTTTCATCGGTTTACATAGTCGACAAGGCAGATGTTAAAGCTTAAAAAATATAACGTTGACAAGTGAATATGTAGCACATCGGCATTGTCTGTATGTTCTATATGGGACTTTACTGAAAATCAAATCCTAAAAAAATATATCTGATTCGAGAATATTGTCAAATATTATAACAAGCGCCCGAAAAGTGATAATATTTAAAAATTATGTTCAATGTGATAACATACAACATAATTATAAAAACTATAACAAGGTGGTAGTACGAATAATATTTACTTAAATAAATAATAAACTCTTACATAATTCTGACAAAAAGTGACAAGTTTGGCACGGATATTTACACCATTGTATTTTTAATAATTATAATTAGTTTGATTAGTCATATGTAATTGTGGCAATAATCAGTGATTATTATTTTTTTGTATAGAATAGTATATTAGTTAATAATATAAGTGATTTTACTATTATTATCTGTTGAACTTATCATATTTTTAACATCAATAGTCAAATTTGTTATGTGTGATATTAAAGTTATTCCAATTTCAAAAAAGTAGAATAGCGTTTCTGTAAATTATACTGTGTGCTCTTCGTGGATTTTTTTGCCTGTTGTTAATGTATTCACCTTGAACAATAAATCGTTGTAAGACAAATACCATACACGTGTCTTTTCAACTTATTGCAACAATCTGACTCTGATATAGGCGACAAATCAAATAATATACTTAGAACAGAACGGTTTTTGAATATTAGTTATTTGTTCAGTAAAATACAGTTGCAACAACTAAGACAAAATTAAATGAGAAAAACCGCGTATTATACAGAAACAACTATATATATATACAAAATGAATATAAAACATATTATTTTATATAAAACTATTCGAAATCGCTTAAATCGATTTTTATTTGTACCAAATAAGACCAGAAATCTTTGCAAATACCGTTTATACTCTACTTATTAATTTTAAAGTTGAAAACAATTTCCTATTGTATATTTTGAGAATTTTATGCTCTCAAAATTAGGCAGTCCAGTATCATAATGTGTATTCAATAGTAGCTTTATTATTTATTTTTATGGATAATGTTAGCTTACAAAACAAATACATTGGAATTTAAATAAAACATTTTAAAAAGTTAAATCATTTATTTTGTGTAACATTGTGTGCAATATTACCGACATAATTCCTACAGTCATTTAAAATAGTGTAAAATATTATACTCAACTATAGTTTGTAATAAGGTTGACGGCTTGGTCAATTGGTCTGTTGTTTTTATTTTGGACAATGAATTACTGAAGTTAAAACTTTTTTTAATGGTTTCTGAACGTGCTTCGAAAATTGCCACTGTGGCACTTTTAGGTTTACTTTACAAGTCGTTTACCAAATTAATTATTGATAATAATTATTTACTCGGTGGAATTTCAGTGACCCGTCAAAAGTTCTTGGACGACGATGGATCTGACCCCTTTGTGATAGGACGATACGGTAAAGGTATTGCTTTCAAGGAAGTGACTACGAGTAGGTACAGACTTAAGCGCAGAAGCAATCAATTTGCGGTCTTGTGGTCAGTTTTCCTCCCAAAACGTTTTAACGGGCTATACTGATCTTTTGTTTGACTTTCTCTCTGGCACGAATAAGAAGTTGGCCGGCAAACCCAGCATAAATATGTCAAAGCCAAATTGATAGGGTGAAATATTCAATACACAGTTGATGAAATAAATTATCAGGCGTTTTATCGTGTGATTATAGTGTTACTTTTGTCCAAACCGTCCAGTTTTATCAGAATTTCTCAAAGTAATTTAACTCAAGTTTAAGACAGATCAAATATACGGAGATACTGAGTAGAAATGTATATGCAGAGGAAGAGGAGGAGGATAGTGTACGGAAGGGTGAGAATACAAATATTGCAGATTCTATAGGTTGACATGAGATGGGAGGGGGAAGAATAAAATAATAATAAAACATTTTTATTAAATATATATATAAATATAATATTTCCAATCTAAAAACTGTAACACAATGGAATCGATGATTATGCAATATAGATTTAAGACCTTCTTTGCTAAACCGACGACTAGCATCATAATCAGCACCATTTACACTATGGCATAAGGTACATTTAATTATTTATTATTATTTACACTCCAAACGCTCAACTGGATTTTTAGTGTTTTTTTATAACTATAAATTACATTTTCATATATCGACATATTATTTAAAATTAATTCTAGAACGGATTATGCCTGATATTGCTCATCAATTAAGAATATTTGAATACAATTTTTTTCCACATAACTGTACTTTAAAACATGTTTATCGGACCTAGTACGGTGTATGTACAACACTTTCATGTGATATTAGTCCATGTAACGTTTTTTTTACGGATTAGGCCGTTGTTGAGCTAATCGCCTTATTTAACATTGTGTGCACTATACAAATATGAAAATAAAAAATGATCAGTGTTCATAAAATAGGGGCTATTTTAAATCACTTTATGTCAACAATAACCTACCCTATAAAAGAACTTTTCAAAGCCAATGGCGTATTATATCCGTTTCGGTGTGGAATATTTCTCACTAAAACGTTTTTATTTTTTAAGTCCTCTGTTTTTCTTTTCTCTTATTTCTTAGGGTTTTTTTTCAAATTCTTTTCTCATTATATTAGTTTTTTTTTGCCAGAAAAACAAATATAAACGATATACCGATGACCGTCGTCGTTCGTCCTTAATGTGTATAATCTATATATATATTTTTTTTTTTAATACACGTTTAAACGACCTATACAAACTTTATTAATTCCGATATTCTCGGAGCCTTTTTATTTTTCATTATTATTACTGTTTTTTTTTCAATACTATTTTTTTCAGCGTTACATTAAATCGTACACACATTTTTAATTTCGCACGACCCATTCCGTCTCTCCACCGCACCCTTTGCCACAGTGTCACATCAGTTTTCCTGCTCCACCTCGCCCATCTCGTACCATCTCTGTCTATCTCACCGACTATCGTTTGGTAAATACAGGGTGATCCAGCTGATGCCAGACACTAATTTTCTCGAAAGCTATATAAATATTTTGAATGTTTTTTTTCTTTCCTACACTCGCAATGGACATGAAGTTAGCCCAATTCGTCCAAATTTAACTTTTCTATTTGTAAGCTCATTTTTATAGCCTGTAAGTCGATCAAAACAACGGAACGACCGAAATTACTTGACGGGTGGCTAACTTCACTTATACTTGCAGTAGGTACATGACGTATTACTGTATTTTTACAACTGTAGCTGAGCAGTTTCCCAACTTAAGGTAGACAAGAACCGTTTGTCAATCATTATCTCAAAACACTGCATTGTGTCTACTGTTATGGGCTACTGGGTTTTGACAATATTGTAAGGAAAAGTGCGATATCTTTGCAAAGTCATAGCAAACGAACAAGTTGACGAATATTAAGATGTTTAAACGATACGATTTTTGTACAAAATTTCCGTCTACTTATTTGTGGAATTAAAAACATACCCACGTGGCCAATTGAATGGTCCATACTTGTTTTCGGGTACAAGGGACATCCGACGGATGTAATCACCCTGTATACTTTTTTTATTTTTTATTTCATTCCGTCGTTCGGCGGTGTTGGTTTGTGCCGAGGCCCGACGGATCCGATTAACAAAGTGTTTTCGCACCCTCCCCGGACGACAACGGGGTAGGCGGGCGGGCGGGCGGGTTTTAAGCCGGACGAAATCAAATTTATTATGTTTTTAAAAATGTCAAATGTTTTATATTCGTGCGGCGTTATATTATTATTGCAAAGCGCCAGCGCCAATAACTTACTAAGCGCGATACGATAATGAAATCGAGAGATTACACGGGTCGACTCCGGAACGAAGAGGGTACACCCCACCCTTAGAGGTGTATATTATAATATATGTATTATATCCAAGGGTGGTGGGAGGAAGGGCGGCCAGGGGGGTGAGTGTTCGGGCGGAGAGGAGAAGAAAATATAGTATCGACGAAGGGTGCGAAAAGAACAAATAAATCCGTCGTCGTCGTCGTCGTCGTCGCCGCCCTTTTAATTCCGTTCGAGCAGTTAAAACGCGTTTAAATCGTAAACGAAAATAATAGCGGAGATATTATATTGACATTATAATGTAGCTAAGCCCCGCAGTCTTTGCCACCGCCCCACGCCTCAGTGTTAAGCCACCGTGTACATTAGAAACGTCCTACGGTATGTAATAATACACAACACTATAAACACGGTATTGTTATTATTTTTCCAAACTTTTGGCAAAACTGTCGGGTCAGCGGCGAAAACGTGTGAAAATAGAATATATTATCATCTAATAATATCTGAATCTGTAACGGTAAAAAGAATATTACGGTAATTAATGTGCTTAAAAAGGTATTTTTTTTTTGGTATTAGGGTGATTAAGGGAGAAAAGGGTCGATCGTCTGTCCATGACAATATAATGAAAATATGTTTACCGTAGATTTACTAACACATAGCAACTTAGAAATATTGACTACGGTCAAAGTGTAATGTTTTCCTTTGTTGTCTTTCCTTAATAAAAAAAAAACGTTGGTCTACAAATTTTTGAGAAAATTCTACCATTTTAGATCTACCTTTAGTCTAATTTTAAAATATTAAGTCCTAGAATCACACTGTTTTAAAGTTCTACTGTTTTTGTAGATTTTTAATGGGCAGGGTTATTTTTAATAAAAGTTTTTACCTAGCAAAGTACCTTTCAGTTATGATTTCTGATCCATAGACTTGCTACAAGGAGAAAATCAGCTTAAAACAAGTATCCAAACATGGTCCAAAGTCCAGATAAAATAAGAAACTTCGTTCCAAAAAAAAAATGTTTAAAAATACATCATTTTAAAAAAATATTTCTCATAGAAAACCAATTTTTGTCTATTCATATAAGTCGTTACAATACATTTTTCGATGAAATACTTAATTCGGTTAAAACAGTAAAATCCTTATCATATAAAAAGGTCAAAAAAAGTTTTTACAAATTACTTATGTTAAAAATATTTTTTCAAAAGGTAGTTTTAGAATGGTAAGGTTTAAAAGTCAAATAGTTACCTGTACAAGGTGATTTATCGAGGTCAGGAAACGCACTTTGCCTTAAGACAATTGAAGTTTTTCCTTTTGGGAAAAACCTTATTTATTATTAAAGTATAGAATTTGAAACGGGAGGTAGGGTGGACTATTCTAACTCACTGCCCCTCTCGTTTTAAATTCTAAACTTTAATGACTTTAAAAGTAATTACCCGAAACTGGTGTTCATTTCGAAATTTTCAGCAACTAATTTTTAATTAAACAATTTAATTAAATTTCACGTTACCGATTGTGCTTCAAACGTTGACGGGGATCTGGATAAATACACTGAAAAAGGTAAATGTTTAGATATTATGTTAAAATATTGTAAAGAACAATCAAAAAAGTATTGAAAATCTCAAGTTCGTAGCGTTTTAACACAAGAACGACGAGGTTATAACTAACTGTATGAAAAAAATAATGACTTGTAGAAAGCTCAAGTTTAAGATATTGATTGTATGTGTGTGTTATTGATCAATCATCCTGTGCATGTCTCAGATTGAAATGAAACCCAATCGATTATAGTTTTGCGGTCAGCAACATTGAAACGTGTAACAGCTAGATAGCGCCAATGGTTTTCGCGGTTCGACTATATTACACTTACCGGCGCATTCTTCGAGCTAAGACACTTGGCCGACAGGTGTAATTGACATTGATACTCATAATATAGGTGTTAACTTGATCGTTAACTTTTCCACGATTTAAACGATTCGCTCCAAGACTATGATAACAATATAAATAGGTAGTGACAGTTAAAAGGGAAACCCAATTATCATCATCATCTCCAATCTGTTATTATTATTGTTATATTATTGTATGACGTCCGACATTCCCGGTGGTCGATTAGTTTCAAGAAGAAATGCCTGGGCAAACCTGACGGAAAATAATTAACAGGATCTTGCCCGTTAAAAGCGACCGTTGTTTGTTTGTTGGGTTTTACTCTGGGAAAAATAACACCGTGAAAATACTAAAGTTTCCGAAGCAGATTGTGATGGTCAAAGAGATCAGAGTTTACACGGATCGAGATAACTCTTCTGGTTCATATTAGTTTAGGCGTAAAGGCAATCATAATCAACCGAATAATATCAGGTTCAACTCCTGTGTTAAGTGTTGAATACATAAAGATGAAAAAATTAAGGTTTAGGCTATTGCAAGTAAAAGACTATGGCGAACGGGATCAGATTTAATTATATTTGTTGTGTTGTTGTAAATAGTTTTCAAAAACAATGTGATCTCGAACGAAATTTCGACTCGCAGTAAAATAATATAGTTTACTTTTTACCTTTTTTTTGTATATATATTTATATCTACTCTATGCTGTACGTTAAGCAGAGTTTTTTTTTTATAAAAAAAAAAACAAATTAAATAAGAATTTCCCGAATCCAACGTTCGATACGCAGTGCCGGGACGACGTTATTGTTTTAATAATAAACTTTTATAAACTCGCATAATGAAAATAGTTTTATAATTAAAAAGAAAAAAATGTATTAGACAACGTTTACTTTTTTAACGGCGGTGATTATTCGAAGTAGGTAAGAAATAAATAAATAAAAAACTAACAAAACCTTAGCCAATCGTTTGACATGTTTTGCTCAATTTTCTTAAAAATAATTGCAGAACTGGCAGAACCAGTGATCCGATAAGTAATTTGAAAACAGATTTGAATTCGTCATGAAGTTTACTCGAGGTCCTACGAGGCTCTTTTTTCAATTTTGAATTTTCGCCATTTACAAATTTGATTTTTAAATTTGAAATTTTATAAAATGTCCAAACGTTTCTTGTTCATAGTAAGAAAAATACATAAAAAAGTACTCCGTTGGATCCCAAGTAAACTTCATAACAAATTCAAATCTGTTTTCAGATTACTAATCAGATCACTAGTTTTGGCCCGTGCGATGGACAAAAAATGTACTATTATATTAACTAAAATGGCTTTTACTCATAGAAAATATGATTTAAATTAAAAATAATACAATTAAGCTTATACAAATTAGCCGGTAAATTAATTGACATGGTCGAAATTTATTTAAACCACTTTTTTCTTAAATATTGCCTTTACAAAACTCCTTAAAAATGGTCGGTAAAACTGGTTGTCAGCCAGTGAACGATTTCCAGCAAATTATTCTCACTTTAAAATGTTAATTATATAAAAGCGTTACGAAAAGAGGATTCAAAACCTTGGTAGATCTCTAAAAATGAGGTAAAATTTTCAACAATTATCCCATATTGTAAAATTAAACTGTCCGCTAAAATTAAAAACTAGAAAATTGCAAAATATTCTGATAAGAAACGATAAAGTATTACAATCAACCAACGACCTCGTATATAATAATATATATATACATTTTTTTTTAATTTAAACAAGATGTATACAATCTGTACAATAAGCATACAAGATAAGTGCAGAAAGAAATTACATGAAAAAAGTTTTAAAGAAAGAAACCACTCATTAGTGATACTCCCTATGATTTTTTTATATTTTTATATTTATACTTAATTTAACTCAATTATATATATTTAATATTAAGTAATATTATTAGAAAGCAGATCACGGCCCCACTTACGTTTTATGTGGGTATGGTCAAGGTTGAAACGTTTTTTATCAAAGGATTAGAGTGAGAGAGTAATTATTTATTGTGGAATCTTTTGTAGAACGAAACGGTTTCTTCGTGGACTGTTTTTATGTTAAGATCATTACGGAGAGTATAATTAGAGATATAAGAAGGTACATTGATTAATTTTTTTAAAGCTATATTTTGAAAGCATTGGATTTGTTTGGTATTGGATTTTTTAGCGTTGCCCCATAGCTGAAGGCCGTAAGTCCATATGGGTTTGGGGATACTTGACAGAGGAAGAGGAGGAGGTTATATGTACACTTCGTATAGGGAAACACCAGGTCGAGGGAGAAGTCTTAAAAGTAAAGGCAGTATGAACAGATTTTGATTGACCGGTATAACATTATATTAATTATGTTATACTATAGTAATTATTACCGTTAACTTGATATTATGTAGAGTTAATCAAAATAAACGACAACAATAAACCCCCGTTATAAAGATATAAAGGAAAAATTGTTTTTCTATTTTTTTTATGGACGGTTTAATTTACAAGACATCATTGTAGCGTTTCGCTACGGTAGTTGTTTTCTTATGTATGTACCGGCTACGATATGATAATATAATATTTATGAATCGGCGGCCGTAATGGAAAAACGTGTACTTATTAAGTGACCGGATCGAAAAAGAGGGGCGAAAAAAAAAAACCTAAGACGTAAAAAGGGTGTTTTCGAGTGAACTTTGTATGGACATTGGCCACTAGGGATGAACGTGCGCCGAATTCAGTGAACACTTCTTATCCCACCCCGTACTCATGTCTTATAGATACATGCCCGACATGGCGAGAGGAGAAGAATAAGACAGAGAGAGAGGGAGAGAGAGAGAGACTAACGCAAAGGCTCACACTCACTTACATGCTCATCTATATGTGTACATAATGTGTATACAAGTGACGTCAGAACTCTTTGATTTGATTTTATTTCTTTTCGGTGGACACACGACGTTGGTAATTCGCTACACCATACTAACAAAAACTATTGTATTTTTTTTTTTACCGTCTGAGTGTACAACACACGATTGTTTCCTCTTATTAAAAACAAAAAATTAAGGGTAGGTACTGTACACACATGCTGAGTATTCCTGACAATGTGGAGCACGTCGTTCTATTTTCGTAAATTTCCTGGTACCCCAACGCAACGGTGTGTTCGAACAGAGTACTTCCCGGTCGTTTTGTTCGGACAACCATCCTATACACAAGGGGTGATACGTTTAACGAAACGAGCCCTCTTAAAAATGTAGAAAAAATTACAATTTTTTAGTGTAATTCTTTTCGAGAACTTTTGCACCAATCGAAGGGTCTGGAAAGATTTGGATAATCTAGAATTTAAATCTTGGAGTTTCTTTAACTGAAAACACAATGGATTATGAACGTACCTTATGATCTTAGGCTGAATCTCTTATCAGCTATCTAGGAGTTATCTACTTTCCCTTATTTTAATTTACGTTTACATGTAAAATTTTGTTGACGGTGAAGTATACATACATGTTTCTTATCCTAGAGACCCTAGACCTTAGATTTGCTGCTGATTCGGTGGGCCCGTATGGGCGAGCTACTCCTGTAGAATGGGATTTTTATTGTGGGAACACAACAGCAGCCCGTTAATAGGTTTCAATAGTCCTCGGCGTAACACCCGTTGTATATAAATCCAAAGCAAATGGTAATAAACAGCGGCGGAAACCGACATTCTGTGCGGTGAGCATAGTTAAAATATAAAGTATGGTTTTTTTCAAATTTTCATAATACAGGATGATCTATCTGAAGTAAGACACTAATTTTCTTGGAAAACATATTGGATATTAGAGGTTAGGATTTACTCGTTCGGTTTTTACAACTGTAGCTCAGCAATTTCCCAATGTCAATGTCACTGTGTTTGTCTATCGTTATCTCAAAACATTTCAAGATATCACATTTCCAAGTGCACTTTTTGGTGAATATTATTTTGTTCTTCCCGTGTGTATACACCTGTTGAGTGAAAGAGAGACACGTCTGATGACATTTAGCAGTAGAAAATGACAAATTTGTATATTTAGATAGTTTTCTTCTGCAAAATTTGATTTATGAGACTTGTCCCGTTCGTACAAAGTGATTAAAATATTTACAAAGTCATAGCAAACTAACAGATGGATATAGATAAATTGAAAATAACCCAGTCCGTGTGAATATTTTGCGTATAAGGGACAAAGGTAAACATTGAAAAAGTATCGACAAAAATGTAGTAAAATATTACGGGTACCTACTACAAGTGTAGTAAATAAATAGCATCTCTGCTTTGCATCGAAGCTAAAGCGATTTAAATATTTGTTTGGCGCGGAATGCGCGTTGAAAACCGAGTTATGATTTTTTTGATTTTTTTTATATAATATTATGTAAAAATACACAATGGTCGGCGGCGTACGCGGTTCGAGAGATAAATAAAATCAAATAATAATAATAATAATAATATGAGAGAAGAAGAAGATAACATCAACAACGCACACGGTTAATTTTTTTCTCACGCTACGCCACCTCCGACTCGTTCGCTCTGGACGCGTTATATTATACACATAATAAATGTATGTATGTATATATATATATGATGATGATGATACGGATTACACAAGTATAAACATATCGGGCAAGTACGGTTTTTTTCGGTGGTGGCGAGGGGGCTACTAATAGTAGTAGTAGTAGTAGTAGTGGTAATAATAATAATATAATCGTCGTTTATGACACGCTGGAAATCTCGGGGAAAAAAAACTACACATAAATAGACGAAGACGAAAACGATGGAAAAAAACAATCTATCTTTTTGGTAAACAAACTTTCACGCGTTATTATTATTATTGTTATTATGCTGGCCGCGTGTACTTATGGGTTCGGCCCCCGAACGGGTAATTATTTGTCCTGATCCGAAATAGAACGTCCGATGATTTGTAGCCTAAATAATAAAAATAATATAATAAACACGGACCACGTGACTTAGTTGCTGCTCGCCATATGGTCTATGGGAAGTTCCATATTATATTGTTGTATACATTTCGGATCGTGTACACGGTTCAGTTCAGTCGGTGTCGAGACTCTTTAAAAACTAAGATTAGGATTTCCCAAGTCTACCGTTATGCCATCGCGGAATCCAGAATGAACAAAAACAGATAGTGCACTGGTAAAAAAATTGATGGTGCGATACATAGACCTATAAAGAATACCATAGACCTATCTTTATAGGTCTATGGTGCGATACCTGTTATTCGGTGTTGGTCGTTATCATATTTCTTATCAACTAATTTCTATAATCAATTCTATTATCAATAGAAATAATTCATCAGTTGATTAATCTACACCGAAAACGTTTGTTTCAAAATAACACACCTGATCTCAGCCCTTAGACTTGACCTACACCAATTTTAGAATACATTTATTTTTTTAAAAGAAACATAGCTTTTGTGTACGCACTATCTAAAGTAATAACGAAAGCTGATAAGAAAGTTAGTGATAACAAGTAGTTGGTTAACGATGGTTGATGGCGATAACATTACATATGTTTGGTACGATTTCTTTTACCTCGCTGTACAGCAGAAGAGTTACATTTTTCATATATTGGTCACACTGACCCGAGATTATTAAATCTTGTTTACATTTTTTGATTTTTTTTAGAATGCACTATCTGGTATAGTTGTTGTTAACATATTTTTTTGTGATAGGGTTCTATTTCTCACAAACATAGCGAAAAATGGTAACTTCAATATTATTTTTATTTTATTTTAGCTAATGTACCTACAAACAGTGCAACCGTACATTACTTTTGTATTGGCGGTTGATTTAAACATTAATTATGTATTTATTACCCCAACAAGCTACAACTATTATGATATACCTACCAACAACGTTTATTTGTATTTACAACAGCTATTTTAATGTATTTAATAAATACCTATATGCAAAATTAAACTATATTTGTATAATTATTATTAATAACTACAGTCTATATTAATATAATCTATGTTATCAATTCATCAGTAAACATTTGTGGTTCATACCATTTGGATAATTAAAAAAAAATACCAGTTAAGGTTCTTAAAAACTAAAATAAAATGATTACATGCGGAAGAGTTTACTTAGTTTTCTGTATTTTAGTACTTTTTTTTCCGAGCCTTTGTTATACTTGTAAAAAGTCTAAAGGGTGTAAATAAATTGACTAAAAATCCAGTTTCAAATCTCCTCACTTCTCTTAATGCCCAACAAATATGGCTAAGCTTAGAAATTTTAGTATAGGACTTTTCACATGAAAGTTTCTCTTTTAAATATTTCAATGCAATTTTGAAACTAACATTAAATTGATAGCTGCCAAACGTTAAATGCAATTTTTTAACATTTATACCTATCTAATTACAGTACTTTATTCTATGCTAGTAATTTTATTGTAATTATTATACATTTTAATTTAACAATTTTGTTGGATAATATTCCTTCCTGCGTTCAACTTTCTGTAATATATTATAACTAATAGTATACTAACATAATATTTAAATGTCACTGTTTAATTATTCAAAGACTTTAATAATTTATAATAAATTGTAGATTTATATTTTATTGAAAAATAAATTAAGAAATAAATAAATAATTACCGTCGGATACTCGAATAATTTTTAATTCTTGAACATATTATGAGCGTTAAATTTTTCTTAAAGATATTTAATAAAATAAAATAAAATGTATACATAATTATTAAATTATACATTTTATATTTATATATTATGTTAATCATTGATGGTGTGTAAATGACTTAATTTTGTTATTAAATTTTGTAAAAAAAATTTAAATTATTATTATTTTAAAATGTAAATCCTACAATTCACACGGGAACATTATTTTTTTTGTGCTGTTAATATTGATAAAAATCATCATAGTCCGCAGTGGAAGCGGTAAGTAATATATTTTATTGATACTGTACTATACCGCTCTACAGAAACTCGTTTTATTTATTTAATTTTTTTTTTATAACGTTTTAAAATATTTCACAAATAATTTTACCGAAATTTTAAAACCCTCATCGAGTTCCTGTAATTGCGTCTGTTGTCTCTATACAGAACAAAACTTTAACGCCCATAAATACCTATGGAAAATGTATATATATAACTTATAAACTTTTTAGGCTTCTTGTAATGTGTTGATATAGTAATATAAACTCGTGTATACGGGGTTGGCTTATTGGTATTAAAACTGAGGTAAAAAGTAAGTACAATTAAAATAAGCTAACTAACCATTGAGAACTTAATCACTCCAAGAATTATACTAACTTTACTATTTATGAATTTTTTTTGCGAATAAAGTGTTCAT